GCATAAAAAGACGCTGGCTGCAAGTCAGCATCGCTACCCTCTTCTGCTGCAGTGCCTTTTTTGCCCTCAATATCGATGGCATCCTGTCTGCTGGCTCAGCTGCCTGGGGATTATTCCAGCTTGCAGCCTGCCTCCTCCTCTTCAATTTTGCCGCGGCCACACAGGATATTGCAGTCGACTCTCTAGCGATAGGCATTCTTTCGGAGTCGGAGTTGGCCAGCGGCAACACTGCCCAGGTTGTGGGCTACAAATTGGGTGCTATTATTGGTGGTGGCTTTTTTGCCTGGCTTTCGTCCTATTTTGATCTCAGGGTCCTCTTTCTGGCATTATGTTTATTCTACGCTACTGGATTTGCAGTTGCAACCTACTACCACAATTTTGATAGGAAGACTGCTATGGAAAAAGAAAAGGTTTCTGCCAAAGAACACGAGAACAGTTAAGTTCGATCATCGTTTTCACGTTCCACCCGTATCCAGGGTTTCCGAACTGCAAGCTCTTTATTTCCCTTTTAGGGAAATCATACATTTTTACTCACTTTTAGAAAGTAGCCATGTGTGGAGTCCATAAAAATGTTCCAGTGGATGTGATCTATAGTGTAGGTTTTTCAAGTAACCTTAATAATTGGACAGATGTCGTGCTGCAAGAATGGGCATTTCAAGGTCTTAAAATTTGTTAATTGGAAACTTTTTCAAGACGAAATATACCCTTCAAGCATAAAATGCGAGGACACCATTTGCTCCCAGTAAAAGAAAGAATATTTTTGTGCATGTCTTCTATGAAAAATATATTTGAATTTATAAGAACGTCGAAAATTAGTGGAAAAATGCATAGTACTTCAATTGCCATTTGTCACAGACTAGTTTTTGTAGGCGTCCGGAAAGAGGCTTCTTCAAAAGCCGGCGCCTTGACGTGACAGCAATATTCGATTTTGTTGCGCGGTAATTAATATTACAATCCTATTTATGTAACATTTTTCAATCCAAAACATGTTTTCGTGTTTTGGTTAAACTTTAATGAGATGGCTTATCTACTTTACAGTTTTTTGACAGGTCTACCCTTGTTTTGTTTTTAGGTACACCTTGCCGATTAGACTATTTTTCTTACTTTTTGTGTTTTGTCATGAAAAAAAAGATATTCTAAAAATTTAGAAAGGGC